CGTTACACGTAGGATTTCTGCAGATCGATACACGAAACGAAGGCAATTATCGTCTTTTCTTTGAAGTTGAACATCAAGAAAATGGAAGGTTGAGTTTGGTGAAAATTTGAATCTTGTAAACTAGCTCCATATCTTCAAAAAGATTCTTTGTTGAATTTTGAATTCAATGATATTGCTGCAGACATCCTAAGAAATGACTTTCAAAATCCTAAACAGAACATACGTCGCGCCAACCTTCGAATTATCTTCTCCTGTGAGAAACGTTTTGGTCAATGTGCGACAGACAAGCCGACACCATTAGGCCAACAAATGTGTGTGCTAGTTTACTTGCTCTTATGGAGCTGAGTACATCAGCCGTACCATGCGTCCACCTGTAAATGTGCCGGCAAACACTACCCAGACTGGCTGGCTGGCTGGCTAGCTGGCAATGGAGGACGGAAATCTATTTTCAGTTCAATAACAGAACACCTCGTCAACTCAGGCCACTCAGCTCCTTTTCAGATCTCATCCAAAATTCTTTACGGGGTTCGATCAAACCTCTCTAAGGGAGTAAGATCAAGGCATTTGTCTCAGCTGAAGCACTAACGATGCGGAAGTTCAACCAGCGTTATACATCCAAAAAGGGTATGTCCAACCTCCATCTTTGTCATGGCCATCATAAAGCCTTGACTGTCATCCTGTATTAGGTAACTATACATGTATTTTCTCCATCCCTTGTTTATTTTACTACTCTGTCATAGATTTAACCCACATTACGTAATCGCAATCTTACTTTCATAACCCTACGTTCATTTCCCTACTTCGTCATACATTCATTCATCCTGTATTGTATAATTACATTTAATTTCATAATCCCTTGTCCAGTTTCCCACTCTAAACCCAAATGCGTATTAAATAACTTCCCTTTAGTTATTCAATATATTTTGCCCCCTAATTGCAAATAATCCTGAGCTGTTCTGCCGACTGTAACATATATCCACGAATGTACAGCTCAGTAAATGACTTCATCGAGATTAAAACAAAATTTTCTTCCCTCCAACCACATCTCATCTTAATATGGTTGAAGATAACAATAAGAAACTTCATGGAATGATGCATCAAATATAAATCATGTAACCCTCTTCCACTTCGATTATATAAAATAACCAAAAAAGGTGGCTGATAAGTACGATATGAAGGTGACGCGTTTAACCACCTTATTGAATGCAGATTAGACACATCTAGCATAAATGGCTTTTTATTCACCA